AAAAAAAGAAATATTATGAAAACTGAACAAAAGTTTCTGAAACAAACATTTTCGAAGGAAATTCTTCAAGTGTATGGCCAGTTTAGCACTCTCTATTTTACATATATTGTGAAAGCTTAGTGACGCGGCGCACTGATGTATATTTGCACTTTACTTGTCACAATGGATCTCATGTTTCTTATCTGAAGTCTTGAGGCTCCAGTGCTGAATACACAGTCTGCAGATTAAGAATCATTATTAAACAACACAGTGAAAGCCAGAAAACCTAAACATGTATTTACAGCTATTCACTAGAAGAGAATCATCACATTTGTAATGCATCCTACTTAAATACCATTGTGCCTAATAATAATAATAATAGTAAAAATAATAATTTTTCTCACCTTTCTTGTTTTTACAGAAGCCGCCTTTCATCCATTGTTCTGTTTATTCTCTCCGTGTGTATTTTCTAAAGGCTCTCAAGTAGCTTTTGGTCCCATTAAGGATCTAAAGTGCCATATAGACTATGTGACAGCACTGTACTTACTTTGTATCACCATATCCTCATACATAATTGCTGTGTAGCTTGCAGCAATGTTGAAACACGGTGATAAATTAAAGGCTAAGTTCGCCTCTTGAAAAAAATAATATAAAATAAATGCACATTTTTTTGCTGGTGAAAAAATTTGCATTTTTTTTTCTAAGGAGCCTGCAGAGCACTGCACCCACAATCTGCAGATTACAGATGCAATGTCAGGCCTCCTGCAGACCTTCAGGATAGCTGTCTGCCATTCGTATCTCCCATATGGGCAGGCAGTCACTTGAGAGCAGGAAGATCAATGAACTATGAGAGCGATCACTAGCGCCCTTGCAGTTCATTGAGAACTACAAGCTGTCGGCTGCAATGGTTAATGGTGCTAGTAGTCTATTCATTCACAGGAAACTGTGAAAATATGATGCAGTCACATGGGTGGAGCCCTGCACGGGAGCACTGTTTTCAAAATGTGACAGGGAGAAGATCCCCCACCCACTGTCATATGGAGGGGGGGGGAATTGGGGGAAGAAGGTGCAGACATGAACTTATCCATTAACGGCTTCCCGTCAGCCCTATAGCAGAAATACTGCTACAGGGCGGCACGTATGCGCAAAATCACGTATGTATACGTGATTTTGCATTTCCGGGATGGGGGCATGCGTGAGCCACGCGCACGCGCTACCTGTGCTGCTATTCCAGGGCGCCCAGTGATTTCCGACGATCTCTGACAGGGGGGGGGGGAACTGTTTTGTTTACTAACAGTTCTCCTCCCTGTCAGCTTGGGCACACTGCTTTGGATGGCTATCCAAAGCAGTGTGCTTACAGTGACGCACACTGACACGGCCCCCTATGTAAAACACTCACAGTTAACCTTTTAATTGCCCCTCATGTTAACCCCTTCCTGCCCAGTGCCATTAGTACAGTCTCAGTGGTTTTTTTTTTAGCACTGATTACTGTATTGGTGTTACTGGGGATGTCAGTGACCCCAAGTCAGTTCCCCCCCAGTGTCAGAATGTCCGCAGCAGTCCCACTATAAGTCGCTGATCGATTACTAGTAAAGATTAAAAAAAAAATTCTAGTGTCTATACCATTTGTAAGTGCTAAAATTTTCACATAAACCAATTAATTTACATGTATTGAGACTTTTTTTTCAGCAAAGACATGTAGCAGAATACATTTTGGCCTAAATTTATGATGAAATTTGATTTTTACTGTAAGTAACAGTGCCGTAATGCAAAAAATGGCCTGGTCAGGAAGGGGGGTTACTCTTCAGGAGGACAAGTGGTTAAAGTGTATCTAAACCCAATAACAAAAACTTTTATTATAGTGCTGCTTAACAGTCATTAAAAATGGAGGCTGCATTAGTTTCATTTTTTTCTTTCACACCAGCTGATCCTGCCAGTAGTACACTTCCTGTCCTAGGGTGACAATGCTCATTCACTGTACTGTAGCTATAGAAGAGCAGTGTTGTCACCCTTGTCACTCTCCTCTTCTAAATAAAATAGGGGAAGTAGTCGTAGTTCACAGAGAGTGCTGGGAACAATGTAACTCATAACAGTGTAGTACAGGCAGAGCACACAGGAAGGTATCAGCTCACTGGATTTGTAGCGGCTCAACAGGTAACTTTTGCACTTAAAGCGGAGCTCCACCCAAAAGGTGAAGTTCCGCATTAAGGACTGCTCCCCATTAAGGATTGGCACCTTTGGGGGGCAGGGGCGGGAGCGTGTACCCAGATTTGACAGGTACCAGCTCCCACGTCCGGACCGATCGCCTAGGCGATCGGAAACGGAAGGTGTCCTCCCTCCCTCCCTGTAGTCTTTTGGGACATGTGACAGGTCCCAGAAGACTACAGAACCATTCATGAAACGCAGCACTACTCGCGCATGCGCAATGGGTACCTGGCTGTGAAGCCGCAAGCTATCACAGCCGGGTGCCCGCACTGAAGATACCAGCCTCCTGGAATACAGGACAGCCGGTGAAACGGGCTGTAGGAGACACACCATGGGACCGAGGGACAGGTAAGTGGCTGTTTTTTAAAAGTCAGCAGCTACAGTTTTTGTTTTATTTTTTGACAGGGTGAGTGGAACTCCGCTTCAACAAACAAAACACTTCTAATGGTATACTTAACAGACTAAAAGGAGCAAATAACAGAAGTTCGTTGTTAGGGTTTATATATTCTTTAAAGTGACATTGTCGCTACAGAAACAAAAAATAAGATAAAAAAAAGCAACCTGCAAAAGAAAACGCTTAAAGTATTTTAAGTAACATTTTTTTTTTTTTTAGTTTTACATAGAGTGGGGAAGGGTTAGGCCCTCTTCCAAGTTTCTATTGCTGTCTGTGTTTACGCTAGACAAGGTGAGGTGAAATCCATTCATTTAGAAAGAGGCGGGGACAAATCTTCCAATAGGGACATATATTCTGGTGACAATGGTCTCAGAGGGGAATTTACCTTGCTTTGTAGAAATTAACTTTAACTTCCTGTTGGGCCTCCAGAACCAAAAGTGAAGGGAAATCTAGCTAGCAGCACAAAGCCTGTGAAAAAGTATGACCCTAAGCAAAGTTGACCCTAAGCAAACTCCTTAGTGGGATAGCCCAAAAGAAAAAAGGTGGTTATGAGGTGCTAGACTTGGAATGTTTGTCAGTTAGGGAGCATTAGCTGGATTTGATGACTGAACCTAGACAGCTTCATCACAAAGAGCGCTCCCCACCCCCAAAAGGAAAAAATGACTCCACTGAGAAATTCACATGAAATTTACAAATAGAGCACCTGACATTTGTTTTATGGGTTCATAAACATTTATTGAACATAAAATTATTTTTCCAAATTACATCACCAATCTTGTCTCCAAATATCACCCAGACCGTACTCTCCGCTCCTCACATGACCTCTTGCTCTCTAGCTCCCTTGTCTCCTCCTCCCATGCTCGTCTCCAGAACTTCTCCAGAGCTTCCCGCATCCATGTTCCATATGGAACTCTCTACTTCTCTACCCCAATTTATCAGACTATCACCTACTCTACTCACATTTAGGCGATCTCTGAAAACCTATCTCTTCAGGGAAGCCTATCCTGCCCTCAGCTAACAATGGAATCATCTATTCGTCCTACCAGTCCATCCCCCACAGTTATTACCTTTTGTACAACTGGCCCCTCCCTCTTAGATTGTAAGCTCCAAGAGGCAGGGCCCTCCTAACCCTCTTGTATTGAACTGTATTGTTGCTGTATTGTCTCCTGTTATATTGTAAATCGCTGAGCAAACTGTTGGTGCTATATAAATCCTGTATAATAATATTAATAATGAAATTGAGACAACAGAAAGATTAGAGGTAACCAGCATGGTAGCCAAACAATCCCCCTTCATCTGGGCTTGAATAAGAAATAGAAATGCTTTTCTTTAGAACTATAAACGCTTCTGGAAAGTGTTCTATATGAAAAGAGGAGCATTATTAGTCTCAATAGACAAGTATCTGGTGCTCTTTTTGTCAATCTCCTATGTGGGATGGTGTCAGAGCTTAGTCAGGTGCTCCTTCCTCCACATGACAGGGTTGAACTGTCAGTAAAAAAAAAAGAGGGTCTCTGTCAGTAAAATGTGTGTCAAGTCAGTAAATTTCACTTCAGGAGGTTGGAACCCCTGCAGGGTTAGGACCCGGCGATTAACCACTCAGGACCAAACACTGCCACATAGAGCAGATCATGTGCTTCTCCATTCCAAGGAACCCACTCAGAGCAAAGGAGCTAGGTCCACAATGGAGTAGGGAGCTGACTAGGGAGCACAGATCAATGAGTATGCCTTGCCATGGGGTTAATAGGTGAGCTATTAAATGGCACTGTCGCTCCTTTAAAGGGGCAGATTTAATGAAAATTGCTTTTTTGTTCACTTTTATATCATTAGTAAACATCATTACAATGCTGCCAAAAAAAATCCACATCTGTCCCCAAGAAAAAGTAAACATTTTTTTAAGAAATACTTAAAAAAAAGAAGTTTAATCTATTCTACATACTGCAAAATGGCAAATTTGTCCCAGTTTTGAAAAAAAAAAAATGAAACAGCCCAGGTCATTAAGTGGTTACAGAACTAGTAAGCACACATATGCATAAGTTTTAGTTTCAGAATTGTATTTTGTGCTACTGAACTGTGAAACTTTTCTGTCATCTTGAAACAGGTGCAACAATTCTCGCAAAATGTACCAAGTTTCAAGAGACTGTTTCTAATTCTCTCATTCTGCTTTCCACAGAATTTTCATGCATAGAGCCAGCAGAAACATTCTAAGAAAAGCTTTCGTCAATTTCGCTCTTGCTTCTACGGCAATATGAAGACAAAGGCAAGAGCAGCAAGACGAAGGCTGGAGATTGACCTGGACGACGAGGATGAAAGTGTGGCACAGCAGACGTCAAGTGAGGATGATAATGATAAGTGTTTTGTGTATAAAGAGAGGAGTAAAGGGAAGAGTTCGGAGTCCGGGAAGAGCACAAGGAGAAGAAGGCAGATGTCACAAGGGAAGGAACATAGCATCCGGAGGCTGGAGAGCAATGAACGGGAAAGACAAAGGATGCATAAACTGAACAACGCATTTCAAGCACTTAGAGAGGTCATTCCACATGTCAGAGCAGAAAAGAAACTCTCCAAAATTGAGACGCTAACTTTAGCTAAAAATTACATCAACACATTAACTGCTACCATACTGAACATGTCCAGCAGAAGCTTGCCCGCTGGCCAGGACACCGGCTCTGATGGCAGTGGCAGTAAGTTTTACCAGCATTACCAGCAACAACATGGAGAAGAGGACAATGATGAACACTTAGAAAAATACTCCACACAAATCCACAGCTTTAGGCAGGGCAGTTGATAGATCCGGAATACTTTATATACTTTGATACTAGGTACATTTTCAGAACTACTAAATATTCAAAATTATATTTTGCTACTACAGTGTACAATTTTTATGGAAATATTACTTGTCCACCCATCTGCACTTTACACAGCCATTCAAGAAATCAGTTCAGATTTTCATTTCAGGTAGCTGAATTTAGATAATTTTGGGTTATTAACATAAGGTATGGATGTAGATTTTGGTATCATGGCAGGTACATTTTTATTTTTAGACTTTTATGAGGGATATGGTGGTTGGTTATTTTTTTAAATATATGTAAAAACTGATGAAGTAGCAAAAAGTAACGATATTAAGTAGCAGCAGAGCTTTCGCTTCAAAATAGATGTAACATCTGATTTGCAAATTAAGAAAACTATCTTTTTTTTCATCTTTTATGTCAACCAATAGTTACTAATCACTAGACTCTGACTATTAAAAGCAATATCCCAAAAAGATATGGTTGCCTTGGACTACAGGTCATCATCGCTGTTGCTTTGAAACATATCTAGTTGATGTAAATACATTTTGGACATTACATCTAAAATGTATGTCATGCATGGTGATCTAGATGCTACAGCTGCTATGGTGTCAAGATATATAAAATGGCAGGCCAGGCAGCTGTTATATCAAGTGGACTAAATGTGCATCTGACAAGCACCAATATCACAATGATGTAAAGGGTGCATTAATAGTGAATCTAAACAAGCACCAAATATAGTACAATTCTGTAATGAGTGCATTAACAAAAATCCCACAGACACAGATGCTGGAATTGGTGCATCACACAATCAATAAAGACATCGCATTATTATTAAATCTGATTTCACAGGGCTATAATCAGTGCACCAGAGACACCACAGTGCCTTACCTAGTGTATTAAATAGACCAGGCAGGGCGAAGTCACAGTGTTCCTGCAAAGGACCCTCCACATTCCCAAACCCCTTATACTCACCATGCCTGCACTCCCTCATCGCTTCTTCCTCCATCTAAGCCAGCACTGAAATTACCAGTGTTGGTGACCAGAGGAAGCAGTGAGTTTACTCTTTCTGTCATTTAAAAGTGCTCAGGCATAGCAATTGGTTGCAAGGCCCAAGTATTGTCACAGGGAGGAGGTCACATTCTCCCCCAAACTTGAAAGCCCCAGTAGTGTCATCAGCTGCAATGGAGGAAGGAGTGGTGGGGTAACTCTACTTAGCTGAGTAAAAGGGGGTGGAGGTCCCTTTGCAGCGACTATCACTGTACCCTGCATGGGCGAGACAATGGTGTGTCTTTTGTAGTGAATCTGATCATCGCCAGAGACATCACAGTGACTGAGTACATTATGAGTGAATTTGAAAAGCTCCAAAACATCACGTTATACTCAATGTATTTATAGTGAATCTGGCAATCATAAGAGACATCACAATGGCTGAGTGCATTATCAATGAATCTATCAAGCTTCGAAACATCACAATGATATACTTAGTGAACACAGAGACAGTACAACACTGTGCAGAGGGCATTAATAATAAATCTGACAGTCAGCAGAGACAGCACAATTTTGTAGTCAGTTTATTAATAGTGAATTTGATAGTTACCAGGGATATTACAATGATGTATCTATTAGTAAATCAGACAACATCACTAGGTACAGGAACATGATTGTAAACATTTTTTTTTTAAATAACAAACATGACATACTTACCTGCTCTTTGCAATGGGTTTTGCAAAGAGCTCCGGGATCTTCCTCCCTGCTAAGTGCCCCTATAGCAAGCAGCTTGCTATGGAGGCATTTGTTTGGGCTTGATCCTGAGATGTGCTCTGTGTGTCAATTGACACACACACAGTGCAGCTCAGCCCCTCCCCCCCCCCCCCCCCAGCTCTCTCCTCACAGGATTTGATTGACAGCCAATGGCTCCCACTGCTGCCTCAATGTCCAGTGAGGAGAGAGAGCAGAGAGAGCCACTGCTCTAGGGAACAACATTGAATCAAGATCGGGCTCTGGTAAGTATGGTAAGAGGGGGTTGGGGGATCACACAGAAGGTTTTTAACGCATTCTCTGCATTTAGGTAAAAAATACATTGAAATTTAATCTGAACAAGCACCAGGGACATCACAGTACTGCACTGAGGGTATTAGTGAGGCTGACAAGCACTGGAGACATTACAATTACGTTTACTTATTTTTTTAATAAGTCTGTAAATTGACCACATAATACAAAAACTCAGAAATAGATTTTCACTTTATCACTATTGGGCATTACAAATCTTCCTATTAAGAAAAAAATGTTTTTTTAGACTAAATATAGATTTTTAGATATTAGTGTCTATATATTTAAATTATGTTGTAGAAGATTCTAGGCAGGAATTGCTACTATATGCTTTTGTGTTTGTAAAATTACTAGTATTGGGAAATTTACCTCTATGCAGTAAAGGTGATTATAGACATAGAACTGTGTTTATTCATTAGATATGGTCCAAACGTCATGAGTTCCTTAATACGCCTGGCACATTATCTGCACATACTATATCTTATGAAAGGGATAATAAATGGTAAATGAGATGATTTTTTTTTATTACAGGTGCTTTTTACACAGGAAGAGATGAAAACTCTTAATGTAACCGATACATTTTTTTGTTTGTTTACTATGATAGTTCTTGGCACAAACATTATTTAGACCTCCTAACTACCTTCCTTAGGCAGGACTGTCCCAATTCTTTCACCAAAAGAGAAAGGACACGTTGACAACAGGGCCGGATCTAGCCTATCTGGTCTGGGGGTGCAGTAAAAAAAAAAGTCAGGGGGCATAGTGCCAACACTGTGTGGGAGTCACTGAGAGTCTGTCACACAGACAGCAAAACACTGGTATGTATTAGGATGACACAGGACCTGTCCTTATATCAGATGTCCCTATCAGAATCCCCTTTTAAATCAGGAGTCCTCATCAGAGTCCCCATTTACATTGGGTTCCCATCTGCTTGCCCCCTTACATCAGGTGTCTCCATCACAGTGCATCCATCAGAGTTTCCCCTTACATCAATTGTCCCCAGCAGAGTGCCCCCTTACATCAATAGTCCCCAGAAGAGTGCTCCCTTACATCAGGTGCCACATCAGAGTTCCCCTTACCTCAGGTGTCCCCAACAGAGTGCCATCTTACATCATAGTCCCCAGAGTACCCCCTTACATCAGGGTCCCCACTAGAGTGCCCCCTTACATCAGGTGTCCTATCAGAGTGCCCCCTTATATCATAGTCCCTATCAGAGTACTCCCTTATATCAGGTGTCCAATCAGAGTGCCCTTTTACATCAGAGCCCCCATCAGAGTGCCCCCTTACATCAGGTGTCCTATCAGAGTGCCTTTTTACATCAATTATCCCCAACAGAGTGGACCTTTACATATGATCATCTCAATCAGATTGCCCCCTTATATCAGGTGTCCCCATCAGTGTACCCCCCTTACATGGATTGTTACCATCATAATGCTTCATTACATCAAATGTCTGCATCAGACTGCCTCATGCATTAGTGGATGCACTTTCAGAGACCTGGGTGGGCACAGCTAAAATCTTGGTGGGCACAGCCCACCCCAGCACCCCCCTAGATCCAGCCCTGGTTGACAAGGGTGCAGTTTTAACTGAACTATGGACAGCGTTTGGTCAGCATCACAAATGACTTACCCTTTCTTGACTGACAATGTATAAATTATAAAGCATTTGCTCTATGACTGTTCCTCAATTTTAGATGAACATTCATCCAGCTGCTACTAGTGTTGTCAGAAGACGGTAGTCTTCATCATGCCTTAACCCTTAGTGCATTCAGTCGTGATTTTATTAACATCAACTGCTCAAGCCATGAAGAAGGGAGAGTTTTTTTTCCCTAGGAAACTCATTGGCTGTATTTAAATGTTTAAAAAAGTCCTTCAAGTGAGATGAACTTTTGTACCAGTCATTCCTCCGTACATATCCAAAAATGTACAGCTTTGGATGAATACATCTATGTGTAGCCACCTTGAATGATACAAAGTTCACAGCTTATCCCAATACAGTATGGAGCATCAGTCATTGAACATGATGGATTTACAAAGACAACCTTATTAGATTCATGAGGAGGCTTTGTATTTGCATATGAAATGTTTAAAAACATTGTTCCTGTGAATAGAATTCATGTTTGCTCTTAGTGTCTGCTGTGCTAAAACTATGCTTGGATATATGTATGTAATTTCTGTAGTATGTGATTAAGTGATTTACTGTATAAGAGATGAAATGAAGGTCAGTAGGATGATCTATATGAATAATGTACCTTTATCTGGCAACCCATTTGCTAAAAGAGCCAATAAAGTGCTGAAGAAATCACCGGCGGAAGCCTGCAAATGTTCCAAGTAAACTACTAATAATGATGTACATTCTAGACACTGAATCATTTAGATCAAGTCACTAATAATGTATCAGTTAACTAATGGCCTCAGTAAAACTATACAATCACAATAGTACATTCAACAGAAATAGTTCAGGGGCTATACCAGGTTTAACTGATATCAGTTTTGCAGGTGACATAGGAAATCTATTGCTTCCAATAAATGGTGCTTTTAACACTACAGAATAGAAAGACATTTTTCAAAATCTAGGACTTCCAACCTTGTGGCAACATTGTGTGCTCAGTGCAAAAAGTCAGCTCCACCAAGGCATAGTTTGATGTGGAGAACCTCAAGTGGACTGCACAAAGCCCTCTCCTCAACCACATTTAACACAATTGGGATGAATCAGAACGACGGTTGTGTACCAGGTCTTCTTGTCCAACATCAGTCCTTGACCTTACAAATGATTTTTTTGGCTGAATGGGCGTTCATTTCCACAGATGCTGTCCAAAATCTCCGTAGAGTGGAGGCTGTAACAACCAGGGGGATTCCATATCAATGTTTATGGTTTCGGAATGAGATTTTCTGCTTTGCAGTTGTAACAAATTCCATCCTCTGGGAAGGCTTTCCACAAGACTTTGAAG